AAAAAAAAAAAAAAAAAAGCCCCCCCCCCAGCCCCCAACAAAGTCGGTTGTCGCAAACATTGTTATTGAATTTGCAAGGAAATGAGCTTTCTGCGCATGCGTATTTTCGCCACGTGGAAATGCGGCCACTTTGCTGTCAAATTCATCTCTAGGATTACTTTCAAATTACACAACAATAAAAGTCATAAAGAGAACGGGCGCCATCGTTTTGGATTGGTATGCCATTGATATTGGGCATGGAGATATCACCTTTTTACAATTGTGCGAAAGGCTGGCGGCGGCCGAAACATTTCTGTGACATTCTGTATAAAGCAGCACATTAATACCAGGTTTTCTGTAGCGAAAAAAGGGTCGACAAGGGCGTCGAGGTATTTGGTGGGCTGAAGGTCGGACAGGCCACCTGACAGTTTAGCTGCCTCGTGTGAGTTGAAGTTGACAAAATGGCATCGTATGAAATGACCTTTAATAGATTTGGAAGTATTAAGCATATCTTTGCATCATTTTTTAAACATTTATGTGAAGTGTTCAAAATGTTTTAATATTCTGAGAATACAAATAAAGACACGCTGTTTGATTGATATTTGTTTTATTGATTGCTATACCAAATGAATGCATGAAATAACCTTAAATAGATTTGGTAATATGAAGTATATCAATTCATGACTTTTTTTACATTTCTACGAAGTATTCACAATGCTTTAATATTCTGAGAGCATGGAAAAAGACATATTATTGTTAGTTTGATACGTGTTTCTGTGGTTAAATTTGTGTTTCCAGCTGTGTACTGACAGCATTCCTTTACTTAAGCAGTTTTTTTTTGGGACTGTTTTTTTTTTTTTCGCCCTCTCGCACCGATTTTGGGGTACCCAGAGGATGTCATCCATAAAAATAAAAAAGTGTGGCCTAATACTCAAAAGGGTATTATCTCTGGTTTTCCTCCGCGCCTATACACTAAAATATATAATTCTGTGTAATTTTACGTGTGAAATAATCTTTGTAAATAGTATTTAGAGTGAATGTCTCCAACAAGAGAAATGAAAAAAGTTTTTCTGGAAAAATGGAAGGAATATGTCGTGTCCGACATAAAGATATCTTATGAGGTCATATGATGCAATGTTTTGTGGTCCAATAGTTGTCGAGTAATGTGGCGGCTTCTTTGTATGACGCCGAGGTAAAAAATTAATTATACAAAATTATAAGTAATTAAAGTTTGCGTGCATCGAACATAGATAAGAAATAAGTATATAAGCGATAGGAATTGACATCCGAGGGGAGAGGAGACAGAGGAAGAAGAAGGAGGAGGAGACTGGGAGAGACGGAGCACGGAGACGGACGTAGTTTCGGAGAGTTAGGAGTTGGAGACTTCACTTAAAATAAGTACATGTAGATACCGAGCGTATAGGAATAAATCTTTTAACTGGTCATTATGTGGACTTGGGTTTTCTTTGCACGTAAATCTGACATGAACCGTGGAGTCTTTAGATTGCGTTATTCACAAAGCAGGACAAACACGCAATGTCCTATTTCGAGCCCACGCTTTAATTAAGCGTACACAAATTATAAATGTTTTGGACATTAATCCATATTTATGAAAAGGTACATTTCAAAGTTCCGCGCAGGCGATAGAACAGCTATATAAGCTCAGTGAGGTGCATCTACATGCATGATAACTCCTTATTAACGAAAAAGTACCGTCATATAATTGCTTTCTCTGTTTCATTGAGGCAATAAACAATGGTGAGGTAATGCCAAGCACAAAAACACGCTGGGTCTTTGTGGTAGTACCATTCAGAGTACTTCCGTTCACATCCAATAAAGATAGCAATCAGCTGGCTACTCAATCGTACCGTACTGCGGGGAAAGCTAGCTAGGCTTAGTTTTATCTTAAAACAAGGCAGCAAAGCTGTCAAATGTACATACAAAAAGCAAAAAATAAAAATGCAGAAAATAGGATACTGTCAATTCTGATGCACTAATGTATTATGCTTAACTGCAAAGCGAACATCAAAATTTAATTCTGCGCAACAGTGGATTAGGATGAAAGTAAAACGTGTAACAAGCATTAGGCTGTGTTCCCATAGCTAGATCAATCTAACAGGATCAATTCTACACTAAGGGGTTTCTCACTAAATTGCTTTCAGCTTAAGCGACTTAGGATTCTGGCATGCCAGTTTCAGTAGGCGTGACAGACAGCTAAGCCACTAACATTGATTGCAATTTAGCGAGAATTCCCTTGGAGATTGATCGATTCACAGAGTAATTTTGTTCATACAGTTTTGCAGGCATTTCTTAGTATGGTCGTCAATGGGAAATTATTTGGTGGTTTTTGCCCTGAAACCTGTACTGGTCTCTCCGCCACTCATACGCCTCCCCACACGTCGTCCCTTTAATTACTGCAGGGACGACACGTGGGGAGGCGTGTGAGACCATAAAAGAATTATGCGGTCTTCCTTTCATGTAGCTCCGCCATATTTATGTCGTGGCCTAGCTAGCACACGTCTCTTCTCATTCTGAATGGTCCCTATACAAACTGTGGCCACAGAGGTGCCACCTCTTATACCCTATAATTATCGCTGTTAGCTTGGACATAATAACGGATATCGTAATTTTGTCCATGTTGTTAGCTAGATAGTTACTTATGGTAACAAGAGGTGACAAACAGAAAACAATCTAGATCGTTCTTTCTGAGCCCAACTGTACATGTGCAATTACATTCTTAACGACATCAAAACTCCTCACTTTCAATTTATGAACGACGTTTTAAGAAAGACAAGCTAAACACTCTCCTTTCTCCAGCTCTGTGCTCCCATAGCGACCCATTTTAAACTGAAGGTTGTAGTTTGAGATTCTACATATTCAACATGTTCTTCTACTGTACATGTACCAGTATGCTAGAATAATATTGGTGGTTCAATAGTACGCAGCGCCACCTGACGAGCGAGAGTGCCACTACGTTTATAAAGGAGATTGTTTCAGCAATTAGCTCTATTTTCCATTTTCCGCTGAATACATCGGAGCGCTAAACAGCGTGTACTGTACGTGCTTTGTGAAATGAAAGATATTAGACACTGGAGAGTAGAAATTTAAGTGATTGGACGTTGAAAGAAAGCCACGGCACTGGACACTGATCAAATTCGGCCGTGGAGGACAATATTATCGAAACTGGTCGTTCAAAAAAGGGCTAACGAGGGTGAGGGGTCTATTCTGATTTTTAAGGTAAGTTATTTATGCATCACACACATATATATATGATTGTGACCATTAAGAATTTATGCCAAACGTTTTACAACAAATAAGTTGTTATGACGTTGTGATGTCGCATGCAGCGGGTTTAAATTGACGTTTATAATTTAAAAAAAAGAAGTCACACATTTAGAGTCGTAATAATCTGCGATTCCACTCTTTGTCAATACCTACTTGCACTAAAGTCTTTTTTAGAGCAATTTTTTTGTTATATTTATGTTACTTTTTAAAACAATTAAGTTTATTATTCAGTGTATTATTTCGGTTAATTCTTTTATACTTACTTATTTATTTTCATCTATTTTGAAACCAATGAAAAATCAGAAATACTGTTATTAATGATACATTTTGATAAAGACGACCCCTACCGGAAAATAAACCCCGAAAATAATATTTTTTTAGGCAGTGTCACTCTACGCGCGTGGCGCTTTTTACCTAAGTATTTAGGAGGTATGCAGCGGTCAGTATGCAATGCTGTGAAGCCTAAAACACTAAGTCTGAGTGAAATTACGATTGCTTGGTATTTGTTCAGAACCATCAATAAATTATATATATATATATATATATATATATATATATATATATATATATATATATATATATATGATGCCTATAAAACTTTAATCAGCAATGTCATGTCTCTACCAACCATGCATTATTTAGCACTGGTGGACAGAGCATTATTTAATACAAGTGGACAGAGCATTATTTAGTACAAGTGGACAGAGCATTATTTATTATCTAAGGTGGGCAGTGCATTATTTAGTACAGGCTTGGTGACACGCACATGATTTTAGTGTCGAATTCGATTTAATCGGATTTGAACAAATAAACAAATAAAGTAATCTATATCAGTGCGTTTTTAAAAGAAAACAAGGCAACGCTTCCTGTAACACTCTCAAGCGCATGTCCTATTTTCATCTTCATATATGTGTTTCAGATATCAGAAGACGTAGACCTACATGTACTCAGTATAAAGTAGTTTTTTCTGTTTTGCCGTTTTGCCACGAATGACTCGCCTGACGTAACACTACATAGTATCATCGAGCAACAATGAGCGCCACGGGAAATAGTGAACTGGGCAATTTTACTTCAGCCTTATCCTCTACCATCAGTACTCAAGTACAACAGCAATCTCTTCCATCTTCTGCACTTTGGAACATTACCCTATGGACTTTGAGCGCCATTGCAAACAGCACTGAAGCAACGACCGCATATCCACTCAACGGATCTTTGACCACTGTCACCAGCAATGTGACGTCACTACCAACCAATATGACGTCATCATCAATCAACGTGACGTCACAGCCCACATATCCTCGCAGTTCCCTCCCTCTGTATCATCTCATCGTGAACGTGTTCATCGTAGGCTCCATATGTCTCGCTGGGATTACAGGAAACGTGCTTTCGATTATAGTCTTCTCAGTGAACAAGGAGCGCTCCTCGACGTTCGAGCTGCTCCGAGCGCTAGCCGTTGCCGACTGCCTCCTCTTGATGCTGTTGTTCATTCATTACGTGGTGCCCAGCATTTACCCCTACACAGGTACGGTCCCTGAATGGTTCGGATTATTGGATCTTAAGATAATATAATCTCCGAAGTTGCATTTCAAACATTCTAACATTTATGAATAGTGTCAATAATTACTCGGATGAAGCAGTGAACGATATTTATCAAAACGCTGGTAGACCCATGATTTGGCTAAATTTAAAGGGGTTAGGGTTCTTTATATTATTTTATTTCATTTTAATTTTTCTATTTTGAATAAGAAATAGCAGATGAATATTGAACTGTTGAAGACGGTTGAGTAGATCATGGACATAATAATAAATTATGTCCATGAGTAGATTGAAAATTCTGACATTTGGTCTCTGGTAACAGTTCATATTGTGCGTGCACGACGTGACTTCATATATTGGCCTTTTTGTCCCAAAAGTTCTCATAAAACATAGCACAGGTGCTAAGCCTACCTATGCCCGAATTTTAGTGTGCACCGAAAGGCTCACCAAATCCAAGGATCCGCCATATTATAGCCTATTTCGTGTCTCTGCATATGTTTATCAACTTGCTGTGAACTATAATTAAGTCGTCGCCATGAAAAATGCGTTTTATTCATTTCAGGATATCTTAAATGGTACATGGACTTCATTCCCAAGATGATGCGATATACCTGGCCAACAGGATACGTTTTCATGACGATATCAAATTGGCTTATCTTGGCTGTGGCAGTGGACCGCTATCACGCCGTCTGTCGGCCATTCAAGGCTAGTGAATTCTGCACTCTCAAGAGGGCCCGGATAACCATCGTCATTGTTGTCATCATGGCAATTCTGTTTATTTTGCCAAATTACCTTGGTGCGATTCGGATCGGATTTTTTCCCTGTGTTAACAACCCAACCGCTTACTGTTTCTATAACATATTCATCGATAACTTGGTCTATGGAATAGGGTATCGAATAGTTCTGCACCTTCTGTGCTTATACGTCGTGCCTATTACAATCCTTGTTTATGTGAACTATAATCTGATCCTTGCTCTTAAAAGGGCAGATGCCAGACGGAAAACTATGACGAAAAGAGAAAAAGAGGCCACGGAGTCTCGGAGTCTTACGCGGTCGTTTATTGTGGTCATCATGATTTATCTTGGGTGTGCGACTCCGACATTTTTGTCTCAGTTCTTCCTGGCGTTCCGAGCTTTCATCGATCCACAGATTTTAGTCAACTATCAGTACTACTTCAGCATCAATATTGTTCTGATCGTGATTAATTCGGCTGCCAATTTTTTCGTTTATGCTTTCATTGGTGCACGTTTTCGACAAATCCTGTTCAGCATTATTTGTTGCTGCCGCCCTGCTCTACGTCATCAGGGGTCAGTGTCGAGTCTGCGCAGCCATCAGAACGCCGCAAATAGGTTAAGCGTTTTAAGTAAAGAGTCGCGTTCAAGTATAGCAACTGTCGATGACGGAATCGACAGTTCTCAGTGACTGAAAGCGACAGAACAGACGGAAATGACAGAAGAAACCCCAACACGAAAGAAAACAAAGTTTCACATGTCTTTTGGTAGTTCTCTTTGTAAATCTATTTGAAACTATATGCTGGCATTTGGTTGATTTTTACACAGGTGTAATACTACCAGACAACATTCGGAAACTGTTTAGAGGCTAGGGACCGAACGCGATCTGAGTACCAGGGAACAGACACAGCAAAAAACAGGCAGACCTCGTTAAAACAACCCTGGCTTTTAGCGGTATAACGCACGCCAATGCTTTAATTTCGATATTGTTTGTTGTAGATGGTTATAAAAACCGCCTCTAGTTCTATCATCTCGCTTTTTTGATGTACAGACAGTTCCGTCGGCAGTGGAAAATCATTTTTCTTTTTGGCTTGAAACTTACAGAACTGATACATATTTATAATACGCAGGTCTAGTTCGAAAATCAGCATGATAGGGCCATTTTTGTCTAAGTAATGCTGTTTTTTTTCACTTTTTTTATTCAGCATATACGCAACACCGATAACACGATAAGTGGAAAACACTTTAATCTTTTGGCTTGAAACTTACAGAACTGATGATTATTTATAATACGCAGGTCAAGTTCTAAAATCAGCATGATGGGGCCATTTTTGTTTAAGTAATGCTGTTTTTTTTTCACTTTTTTATTCAGCATATACGCAACACCGATTACACGATAAGTGGAAAACACTCACCTTTTGGCTTGAAACTTGCAGAACCGATGATTATTTATAATACGCAGGTCAAGTTCTAAAATCAGCATGATGGGGCCATTTTTGTTTAAGTAATGCTGTTTTTTTTTACACTTTTTTATTCAGCATATACGCAACACCGATAACACGATAAGTGGAAAATACTTTCACCTTTTGGCTTGAATATTTATAATACGCAGGTCAAGTTCTAAAATCAGCATGATGGGGCCATTTTCATAAAAGTAATGCTTCTGGGGAAAAGGCATCGAGGGAAGCTTCCTCAGGTGAGCTTATCAACTAAATGATTGCTAACTGATTAGAATTTGTTGAGCCTAGCAGTCCACTGTTAAGCCACCTTCACCAAACCTTCGAATAATAAAGTTCCACCTGGAATTTTGGAGTTGGGAGGGGTGCGTTAATCACCTTGATCTAGACCTGTCAGAGATAAAAGTAAAATAAAACTTGCTGTGGGCATAAGCGTGTATGCTGTTATTACTGATATTGAAACCCCGAATACTCATTTGCTATGTAAGGGACGAATAGCAAAAAACTATATTACATTGAAAATAAAAATAGGGTATAGGGCCTACATGTATATTTACCTAGTGGAAATTTTCCTTATCATTTAGAACTAGTTCAAATCATTTTACAGAGTAGGCAATAAGTTCCTTAAATATGGTCGCTCATGCTGCGGTAGAACGACATCTATTTTATAAATTAAACAGCACAGTTGAATCATAGCGTGTAAAAAGCAGATGTCCCACACTGCAAAGTAATACGGGACCACTGACAGTGCTACAGAGACACCGATTACATGTAGATTGACAACTGTCGCATTTGCAACAGTGCTGCCATGTGGCGGCGCTATGCAGAGTTAACAGTGCTGTAGTCCCGCAAATTTAAAAGCCAAATAATCCAATACAATTTCTAAAAGAGCCAACGATTATAGCCGGCATTTAATAGTGAGTAGAAATTAAGCAAGTATAATAAGCTTTAAAGAAAAAGTTTGGGAACCGTTTAAAACTTCAATCAAATCACATAAAGATTATATTTTTACAGTTACAAGTAGGGCCTATTAATCTCAGCATTTTGCAAATTTATTATGATTTTCTTTTTATAAATGATATGAGATACGGTTCGCTCTCGTTTATTTATTTTCAGAAGGAATGAACAACACAATTCTTTCAAATGCTTTAATTTAATTAAAATATTGAAATCTCACGTAGTTAAAAGTCAGACAGAAACCAAGACTCAACAAATACATAGGCATTTAAGAGTCACTAACAGGCCTGGTATACTTTTTGTGCTGTGATTACATATTTCATTACGGTACTTATGTTTTTGTTTGGTCATGAATCTTTTTGTAAAGCTAGAGCTAGAGATTATAAACATTATCATTTTAATTACTTTTTATTATATGGTTGTCCAAAAACCAGATGAAAAGACTGCAGCGTATTCAGAACATCTCAGCTAGATTGTTAACCCGTAGGCCTACATCCATGAGTTACCGCATCACCCTTGTTATAAAAGAGTAACATTGGCTACCTCTGCAAGCCAGGATTTTATTTAAATTTCTAGTCTTTGCTTATGATGCCTTTACAAAGTTGCACCGATCTACTGAAGTGAATTAGTCACTCACTATATTCCAGCAAGAAATCTGCGGTCTGTAGACAAATTGTTACTTTAGCCGGTAAAAATGCGCCTAAAAACTTATGGTGACAGGTCCAAATGGAATGGAATGGAATTTATCACCACTGGAAATCCGATCAATTGAGTCTACCAAGCTTAAAAAAGAATTGAAGACATACCTATTCAGGAAGTTTTTTGACTAATCAACTTTTAAATTGATTTTACAAATTTAATAGTAATTCCATTTGTGCACTGTAAGAAACAAGTCTGCTCTACTTATAATTTTTTCTTTGTGCAAATAAGGCTGTTTTTTAACCTTGAATTGATTATTTTTTTCTTAATAAACATATTTTAGTTGTGTAGTGTAAGTGCTTTTATATGTGAATCCGTATGTTTTATCTAGAACACTCTTAAATTTTTTGTCGTTAAGCTGTGTAATTTTTTACTCATCTATTCCTAATAATTGATTTCTTAAGAAATTGTTTCATGTATATGTAAAGACTTCTGAACATGTTATAATGGATTTTAGACTAAAAATAAATTTATTTTTATTATTATTATTATTATTAATTTATCATACTTTTGGATTAATAAGAGACTACTTAGGAACAAGATTTAAAGAAGAAAAAATAAACCAAAATTTGACATCGGTGTGACAAAACTTAGGCTCCCTGTAACAGAGAGCCCACCCTCCTTTTAATTATACAAGTTAGGGTTGGCCTGACGTAAGTGGATCAAAATCTTGGGCGAGGCCCACCTGAGCACATTAATGGCAACCGGACTCTATATCGTGTGGGACACTCTGGCATGTCAGACCGGTGTAACAGGAATGCAAGTCCTAGGAATGGAAGTCCGAACTCCTATATGATTTGTACTGGTTAGGGGGTATAAGGAGCATTGGGGTTACTACAGACATGTCATTTCATATGGAATATTTCAGTTTTAAAGGTATACCTAGGTAAAAATGCGTTCTTCTTAAAAAACTCAGATCTCACATAAGATATCTGACTGTAGAAGTATGAAGTCAGGTGTGTCGCTACTTAACTGACTACCAAGTCTGTTGCACTTCTGCGTTGTGTTATTTGCAGTAATTTAATTGTCTAGTGCTCCTTTGGGCTAGTCAAAGCTTACCTTTGATGAAGCATGGTTCTGTCAAAAAAGTATCCATGTCGGCAACTGCTGCTTAGAAGAATTTGAAATATTGCATGCAAGTGGTCGGGTTTGCAGTGGGTAAAATGAGCTATGCAGTGTTTTACAAATTTGTTAATTTGTGGTAGAAAAAGTCAGACATTGCCAGACAGATTATTGTGTCAAACGGAATGGTCTGCAGAGTTTTATAGATTATGCCCAGACAGGTTACATACAGGATATGCTGCTGCAATTTAACCCAAACCACCCAGTCCGTTTTGAATGAGGGACAAATTGTCACCAAAACGCGTTTTTCAAGGCTCTAAGCTAACACTAAAATGGCTTCAGCAGGTAAGGATATCAGGCGACCTCTGCGGAAGCCACTGTAAACAGCTTAACAGCGTAGCCTGTTTCTCTAATGAATTGGGGACCATGACCATTTCTGGGTAGAACACTGAAACCGCGTGGCTTTCTTTATTGAGGCCAGATTTTACCCATACCGTCAAACCGGTCAAAACAGACATCTTCAAGAGGCCTTCAACAAGGCGTGTACCACTTCTTAAGTGACTATAGAGTCATTGAAAGCGTCACTATTTAGAGTGGATAACACATTGGTGCCAAAACATGCTCAGGAGAGAAGAGTTTTTAGTGAATTTCATAAAGTTTCTCAAACCCAACCCTGTCCCTCCCTAATCTTCCCTGATTAATTAACACTGCAAAACAATTATTAATTCTATGTATCATTATAACATGTATGGTATTTATGTTCAGAAATATTTGACATATAGGTAAGCCTCTATGGGATAGCAGTTCTCATTTTGTTTAAGTCAACATACAGGGCATACCCTTAGCATAGGGCACATATGGCAGTTATAAGGCCAAGAGAGACAACTCTATTAGTGGGCTGTCAGAGCATTGAGGAAACCTACGTCCCCTTCCTGAAGGGTAGGGGTTGC